CGCAGCCCTTGGAGCGAATTTTTGGGGAATCGGGGAAGGATTTGGGGTCAGATTCCCTGTGTCCCGATACCAGGAAGAGCCGGGTTTGTTTTGGGATGAGATTCATGGATTTTTCCCTCTCTGCAGAGCCCCGTTTGGATAACCCGGGCAGGGTGGTGGCCGTGGCCGTGGCCGAAGCCGCCGCGCTCTCCTCTGTTTTCCTCCTGTTCCACTGCAGAGCGCAACGAGGAGCTCCGTGACGCAGCTTGGGGGGTTAAACCAGCCCAAAAAATTCCCAAAAATCCCTAAAATCCAAAAAATCTGAAAAAGCAAAAAAAATCTCAAAAATCCCAAAAATCCTGAAAATCCCCAAAATCCCCAAAATCCCAAAATATCTGAAAATCTCCAAAATCCCAAAAATCCCAAAATATCCCAAAAATCCCAAAAATAAAAAAAAAATAAAAAAATCCCTAAAATAAAAAAAATCCCCAAAATTCCAAATATCCCAAAAAATCCTAAAATCCCATCCCGAAAAGTTTAATCCCAAATTTATTTTCCTTTCCCTTCTCTACACCCCTCGAGCTCAAACCTGAGGACACCTGGGGTAATTTGGGATTTTTAAATCCCTCAGATTGGGGTTGGGGTTGGATTTCTCAGCCCTGACTCCTCATCCAAGCCACCTCCCATTTTTTGGGCCAAAATCCCCCATTCCTTGGGTTGCCAAAATCCCCCATTCTTTGGGCCAAAATTCCCCCATTCCTTGGGCCAAAATTCCCCATTCCTTGGGCCAAAATTCCCCATTTCTTGGGCCAAAATTCCCCATTTCTTGGGCCAAAATCCCCCATTCTTTGGGCTGAAATTCCCCATTCCCTGATCCAAAATCCGCCAGATTTGGGGTTTTTCACCCATTACAGAGCACAAAAGTTGAAACCTCTTCCCATTTTCCCACATCAAAGTCTCGCGGGATCCTTTGGGAAATCGGGATGGGATCCCGGTGCGAAATCCCACAGGGATGAGGTCAGAGTCCGAATCCATTCCGGCCACTCCGGCCACTCCGGCCACTCCGGCCGCTCCGGCCACCCTTCACAGGGCCGCAGGGGTGGGAATGACCATTCCCATGGGAATGTCCCGGTCCTGGGGTAGGAGTGACCATTCCCATGGCGATGTCCTGGTCCTGGGGTGGGAATGACCATTCCCATGGGGATGTCCCAGTCCTGGGGTCGGAGTGACCATTCCCGCGGAAATGTCCTGGTCCTGCAGTAGGAATGACCATTTAACCATTGCCGTGGGGATGTCCGAGTGTTCCACCCCATTCTCGGTTGTGGCACGGGAATGACCATTCCCATGGGAATGACCGTTCCTGTCGGGATGTCCGAGTGCTCCGTCCCCATTCCAGTCCTGGGGTGAGGATGACCATTCCCATGCTGATGTCCCTTGTCCGGGGGTGGGAATGACCATTCCCATGGCGATGTCCCTTGTCCTGGGCAGAAATGACCGTTCCCACTGGGATGTCCCTTGTCCTGGAGTGGGAATGACCATTCCCATTGGGATGTCCCTTGTCCTGGGGTGGAAATGACCATTCCCATGGCGATGTCCCTTGTCCTGGAGCGGGAATGACCATTCCGGTGGGGATGTCCGAGTCTCTATCTCCATTCCCGGTCCTGGGGCGGGAATGACCATTCCCTCCGATATCCAAGCGTTCTGTCCCCATTCCTGGTCCTGGGGTGGGAATGACCGTTCCCATGGCGACGTCCCTTGTCCTGGGGCAGGAATGACCGGTCCGGAGCCTCCCTCCCTTCCACCAGAATTCTTCCCCCGTGGCCGGGGTGTGTCCCTTGTCCGTGTCCGGCCCTCGAGTGACCATCCCACGCCGCTCCGGCCACTGTGCCCACCACGCCGCCCGCTCCGGGGAGATTTTCCCTGATTTCCGAGGATTCCTGTGGGGTTCCATGGGGTTCCATGGGGTTCCCGTGGATTCTTATGGATTCCCGTGGTTTCCCCATGGATTCCCAGTGGATCAG